AAGGGTTTGGTTCGAAATTCCATTCACCTGAAGAAGGCCAGACCGTACAACGGCCGAAACATTGTGAATATGGCAATATAGATGAGAATAACAGTCCGAATAATGTAAGTAATCATAATACCTCATCTGAAAGATCCTATCACCTGAAGAAGGCCGGAGCATTATGAATATGGGAATAAAGATGAGGATAACAGTCCGAATAATGTAAATAATGTAAGATTATCTCAATTGATCAAATTTATCAACAGTGATTTATAACAATCATAAAGTGGCAGGAGTTTGCATTTGCGACATTTGTGCTGAAGCTATGATAGTCTGGCTATTGGAGTCAACTACGACACACATAGGAGTAGATGTTGTCCGGTTCACACTCCTCCTCAATCTTTTAAACAAGTGCAATCACCTGTTTCCTGTTTAGGATTGGGTTTCTGGTTCCTTCTAAAGTCTACTTCCACACTATATTCCTAACGCTTATCCTTTCTCATGCTAATATAACTCAACACAGTAACCCTCTATCTTAAGTGGCTCTTAGGCCTTGAATTGGGTGAATATTATTAATAAAAAGCCTAAAAAAAGACTATTTTCGATATTAAGGTAGTTCGTGAAATCAAGCATTGCATTTTAAGTTTTTATTTCGTCGAATTTATTAGTGTGGCTGAAATTATCGTCGGTGTGTTTAATTTAGCGAGGGTTTTTGAATACTGTATTTCCACGTGAGGCATACCAATATGGAAGATAATAAGGAAGCCATTAATTTCATACCAAAATATATAACTATACATTTTCCTATCATATGAATTTACTATTCCTGAGTAAAACGATAAACTACGTCCAGCAGCAAGGCCTCTGATCAGAAGGTTTTGAGGAGCGTGGAACAACCTCGTAATTGTTGGTGTTCCCAAGGTTCATCCAGACCCAGGGTAATATCACCTGTTAGGATCCCAGCTATGGGCAAATAGTTAAGGGGTCAAAACACTATGAAAGTGTGAAAATAGGTTTTAATACCAGAAATATTTTTTATTACCAGCAATAAATTTTTGAAGAAAAACATTTACCAGCAATACATTATTGCCAGCAATACATTTTTGAAAATATATATATATAGCCATCAATATATTTAAAAAAAATATTACCAGGAATAGATTTTCGAAGGAAAAAAATATTAAAAAAGTGTTAATGAAACTTGATTTACAAAGTGATTTTGTTACTAAGAATACATTTTTATTCATATATATATATATATATCTGTCTATATTTCTGATATGAGGTATTATGTACATTATTTACATTATTCGGACTATATGGCGACAAAGATGAGGACAATAGTCTAAATAATGTAAATAATATATATATATATATATATATATATATATATATATATATATATATAGATAGATAGATATAATTCCGAGGAGGATATAATTCCAGGGAGTGCTCAATGTGGACTACAGAGCATTATAATGATAATAAGAAGACGGAAACTTTAATTATCAATTTCAATTATAAATTTATTTCGTGAACACCGAGACGTTCAACTCTTCGGATCGAAATCATAAATTGTTGGCATTAAATACCCTTTTGAGGTTGATATATCATAACCCTCCCCTCAAAAAAAAAAAAAAAAAAAAAAACCCAAAACCAAACAAACCAAAATCATACTTATTATAAAACCCAGGATGTGTGTGTGTGTGTGTGTGTGTGTGTGTGTGTGTGTGTGTGTGTGTGTGTGTGTGTGTGTGTGTCTGTTCGTTTATATATTGGATCAGATTTCCTACATTTTCAACCGATTTCAACAAAACTTCACAGGACTACGTAAAATTACCTTGCGGTGGTTCTGACAGTGCCAAAAATTGAAAAAACACAATTGTTTTTGCACGAAATCAATTTGAAAACACGATTAAGAGGCATCGCTGTTTCGAGAATAAAAGGGGGACAACACATATCGAGTTATACTTATTATAAAACCCAGGTTGTGTGTGTGTGTGTGTGTGTGTGTGTTCAACAAAACTTCACTTTTTTTGGCAGGTAGTGTTTCTTATTGTCTTGCACACTTTTTTCTTTATTTTTACATTCAGAATGCTTTAAAAATTCAATTTACAAGACAATTGTTTATAATAAAATTGAAAAATTCTATTTAATCGGTAGACCCAAAATGATTGAAAACAACGTTTTTGTTTGAGTTTGGGTTTGACCAATTCTAAAAAAAAAACCTAATTAAGACATGCGTCTTAAACAATAATGTTTCTCAATTTTATTTTTCAGTCTTTATGATGGTCGATACTTGATCTATCTCTTACTGTTACATCCCCGGGCAACGCCGGGCTCTACTGCTAGTATATAATAATACATTTTCTTATTATTTGAATTTACCATTCTTTTCTTAATGCCGGCGCTCATAATTGGTGTAAATATTTATTGCTTGGATGAGAATGTTCTGGGAAACCAGAAATGCAGATAGATCGAAAATTTTCGGCATGTATTTTCTGAGAAGTATTTAGAATGCAAAACCTGGATATTTAATTAAACTGCAACAAGCTTGAACTTAACAGGATTCTTTTTAACAACATAAAAGATTTTTGGTTGATCTAATTATCCGGAGAGTAGGACTTGGTAATAAAAATATATGAAGGATTATTTACCTTTAGTTTGCAAATCCTTTATAACATAAATTTCTACACCAGTTAAAAACATCAAAATGCAATTTGCATTCTTTTCGGTCGAAGAAAAAAGATTAATATTTTATCATTTGTAATGCAGTTCGAATGCAGACGTCTTGATTGTTTCGACAGATCGATGTCTATTTTGGAGGAAATAACAACAAAAATATATATTTTCCATTCTACAAGGCTTGGCGTATTTATACAATTTCCACTCACAAACAAGTATTTATATAGCAATGTTTTAAAAAATTAATATGTTTATTGTTAAGTCGCTTCCTCTTTTTATACACACACAAACACTAAGAATGCATCAGATACGCATAAATCATATCAATATACTTGCATAAACTTGTATTGCCATCTAATTTAATTGATAAAAACAGCTGATATTTATACAATAATCAATTACTACTAATTATCTCTAAGAGATATATCTATGAATGAGATCTTAGTTATAAAATTTTACGGGATCGTATCTGCAAATATTTTACAGCCGACAAGAGAATTACTGGTTTGTCCGGTTGGGATTAAAACCATGACTTTCTGCTGTTTTGGTTAATGATGATGAATAATGACGATGATGATGATGAGGAGAAGGAGAAGGAGGTGGATAATTACGACGATGATAATAATGATGTTGATGATGAGGATAATGATGGAAATAATAATAATAATAATAATAATAATAATAAGGTTGAACTGAAAATCTGGTTCTACTGCTGACGATGAAAATGATGCCAGAAAAAATAGAAGCTCTACAGAAATAAATACGAAATATGAAATATTAAAATGATTTTCTTCTTTTTTTTTTTAAATAAATCGTATATAATTTTAACTGGCTTTTATTTATGCATTTGCACTTATAAAGATTGGAAACAAACGCGGGATAAAAGATGAACGATTAAAAAAATAACATCTTGCATCATCTCTCTCTCTCTATATATATATATATATATATATATATATATATAAAAAATTTAAGTTGGAATAAAATTGTCACTGTCCATATTGTATATTTTCAGTGATTCCCCTTGGTTCAGTTTGATGAAGAACTACGGGAAGTAAATCGCATGCAGAACATTATATGATGAGTTTTGTTAATTTTTTTTTTATTGTTATTGGGTTTGTTATCGATGTGACGAATGGAAAATGAAACGAGGAAATTTAATTTCGCCCAGTAACTACACTTTTTGTTTGCTCAGTATGCATGCTCTTAGATTCTTCCTATATATATATATATATATATATATATATATATATATAAACATTATTGTACTTTTAAAAATATTATCTTAACAGACATTCTTTTCTAATCTTTCCACCCCCAAGCAAGGCGATAATGCCACTAAAACGCACGGGGCTGCTGGGAGTGAAAGAGGATAAGAAGTAGTTAGGACAAGGAACCGGAAAGCCAAACTTAAAGAAGAAACATCTACTGCTCTTCAAAAGATGGTGAAGGAGCGTGAACCGGGCTATAGGCAAACTTATCTACATACGAGAATTTAAAATGTAGGCATTTTTCTGTTAAGTTTATTAAAAATTGATATCAAACGGAACCTTATTCACGTAAATTATATTAAACAATTGTATATTTGTAGTCTAGCGCATTTAAGGTCTTTTCAATGTTTTGACCGTGAATTTCACAAGGGAATGTCCTATTTATATATTTTTGAATGTTTGCTTTATAGCAAAAATATTTGCTTAAGCGTTCTTTTAAAAGTTAACGGAATTTTAATTATGATTATGACTTGTTTCAGCAAAGCGACTTTCAAGTAAATACAATCAACTTCAAAGTGCCTTTTATCGATCTCGAACGCGGAACAATGTCTTTTCCACATCTAGTTAGTGATCAGATATTATGTGATAATAGGTCAATGAAAACTTTACATAACATTGATTTAAGATAGCCTCGTTGTCATATAAGCGATAGCAGCGGGTTTTGAAAATGACCCCTGTTAAAGTTGAACAATAGTTGTAAGTTATTATATTGTTACGAATTTTGTTACAGTAAGATAGTTTTGGTAAAATGGTTTGTCCAAATTTTCACTGTTCCCTAATAAACATTATAATATGTCAATGATAAGACGTTTTTGTCTTTCCCAGTGAGTGAAAATTTGAACTTGATTAATAACAAAAACCATGTAAATTTCTCGTTACTTACCAAAATTCTTCCAAGATACTTACCAAGCTTACTCCAAGATACTTACCAAGATTTTTCCAAGGTACTTACCAAGATTACATAGGTAGTAATATGTCAAAATTAGATTATTAAAAAAACTATTGTGCAAAGATTTAAAGGCATTTAAAAAAGCCACACGAAAGAGTGTCAACATTGATAAACTAACTACATAGATAGATAGATAGATAGATAAGTGAGAGAGAGGTGGAGAGAGGGGAAGAGTTAAATACAAAGAAACGAAAAGACATACGTGAATAAATAGATAGATAGATAGATAGATAGATAGATAGATAGATAGATAGATAGATAAGTGAAAGAGAGTTGGAGAGTGGGGAAGAGTTATATACAAAGAAACGAAAAGACATACGTGAATAGATAGATAGGCATGAACAGGGATAGATATGAAAGGGCTGAGATCGATAGATAATGAAAAGAGATAGATAGATAGATAGTAGGTAGGTAGGTAGGTAGGTAGAAAGAAAGAAAGAAAGAAAGAAAGAAAGAAAGAAAGAAAGAAAGAATGTAGACACAGAAATCAATACTTTATGGTGATTTCTTTAATTTTACACCTTAACTCATTATCAGATGATGATCTTCCGGGAAACTGCCAGTCAACATGGAGTGTTGATTTCTGTGTCTACACTGTTTATATCAACAAGATCTCTATCCCTGCTATTGAATGCTTCTCTCATAAATATCGCAAATATGAAGCAATATAGTTATATATACATATGTGTGTGTGTGCTCACGTCTTTGCGAGCATGTACGTACGCACATGCAAAGAATATAGATTCCAACTACCAATTTAAAAAGTGTATGATGAAACAAAAGATCAACTCAAGATATCGAGCATCAGAAATCTTTGTATAATCACACTGACTCAAGATTAAAATATATCAAAATACATACATTTTTTGGCTGATTAGAATATTTCGATCTTACATATGTCACGTTGACCGAGTAATCTGCAAAAGCACCGTACATCTAATGTTAACGCTAATATTAGCTGTTTCCCTATAAGGAAACATTTGGCATTCACTGACCAAGCAACCAGTACTACTTTCGATTGAAATTTATAAAATCTTTCTCTTAAAACAATTTTATAAGAAAACAGGTTTCTCGAGTCCAGTAGCTGTTATCGCTCTTTCCAGTATTGATTGAAAGAGCGGGCTCCTGCTTATAGCTTTTATTTGAAATAATGTGGAATGTTAAAATCTTGATTATGTCTTTATTTTCTCTTCGAGTTACATGTGCTATCCATTTCATTTGTTACTGCTGTTGGAAGTCCTCAAAGGATATAGTTAAAGGAAAAAGGAGAATATTAACGCACTTACAATGAAAGTAATGATGGTCATCAGCAAAAAGAGCCCAAAATGCGATTTACAGGTCGGAGACACTAAAATCAAGCAGGTCGGGAATTTAAATATCTGGGAAGTATACTAACAGGGGACGGTAAGATCCGAAGACGTATTGGGATGGCCAAAGACGCATTCCAAAAACTAGACAGAGTATTACGAGACAGTAGAGTTTCGTTGGTAACAAAGAAAAGAGTACTGAACTGCTACGTGATATCTGTCCTCCTTTACGACAGCGAATGTTGGTCGGTCTCCTCAAAGATGAAGAAGAGACTCGAATCAACAGAGGTGTGGTTCTACAGAGAGATGCTAAGAATACCATGGACCAAACATGTGAGCAACGATGTTTTGGCGAGGATACAAACAAGAAGGAAGCTTATACTTAACATCAGGTCAAGGCAGCTGAAATTTCTGGGACACGTAATGAGAAAGGAAGGCTTAGAAAATCTGATACTCACAAGGCGGATAGAGGGTAAGAGGAACAAGGGGGAGCAATGAGTGACATGCTTAACGGTCTTAAGCAAGTGGATGGCAGAACAGGGTCTGGTAGAAATAACAAAATGTCAAAGCTTATATTACAAGGAACAGGAGGAAATGGAGAGCCATGATCGCCTACGTCCTGAAGGGACACGGTTCATAAAAGAGAAAAGAAGAACTATCATTAAAATTATATCTAAATAATTTTCAAATGGTTTTACCAGAAATTTCTCAAAGCGACATTATACTGATATGAAGAACTAATCGAATTCTTTAGACAAAGCTATAATTAAGGGTTTTTATGAAAAAAAATTATAGAAAACTTTATTTATTTTAATGTTACTTTTATAAGACATCCACTTGCACTGATATGTCATAAGTGACAAAAACATTAAACTGGTTTTATTAAATGCGACTCAGGCTGTATTGGTTAGTTTAATTCAGTCGATCTTTTATGTAATCGTAGTGTGCTGTTGATTTTATTCGACAGGCGCCCAGTACAAAGTTTCTTGCAAACGGTACCAGGGGATGTGTGTCAGTCCCACTGCACGTATAAGGTTGACCAGCTCAGACCTTAATGTTTAGCCAGTTTGAATGTTGAACGGCGTAAGCAAAGAGACGAAAGTTATTTAAAAGCGATACGCTTTACATTTGATTAACCTGCCGTAGACGTAAAGCATTTCAAATCGACTTTTCACGATCTTGCCAACGGACAGTGGATCAGTTTAGCGGGCAAAACTTGACCAAACATTGGAGTAACAAGGTCAGGCAAAGATCATCGATCACAGGTCAAGAGGTATACCGACAAACGATGACGCCTACGTCCGGGGAACTGCTACGAGCCGAGCCTAAGGGTATCATACAACGACAAACCATTTTAAAGGGCTGACAGGTATGTACGGAGGACTGTAGCAGCTGAGACCAGAAAACCGAATTGAGTATACCTCTACGTCAGACATTTGTTGAGAGATAATTAAGTTTGAATTTGAGGGTAAAGATATAAAATCCTACTGAATGGGTAATATAAAGAGGGAGAAAATGAGAGCGAAAGAAAAAGACGAAGAAAGAAATCTAAGTGGCTGGAGATTATCGGGGAGAGTAGAGACAGGAGAATAACAATGTCGATAGCCAAGTGAATATGCGAAGTATTTCTAGAGTTTTGTGCAGTAAAGAAAAGATATTTAGGACAATGAATGGCTATATGTAAAATAAAACTGAAATAAAAAGTTAAAGGTACACATGTGTGTGTGTGTGTGTGTGTGCGAGAGAGAGAGAGAAAGAGAGAGAAAGAGAGAAGTAGAAAGAGGGCAAGAGAATTAATTTGTATGACTTGATACAGATGATAAACATAAGACAAAAAAAATCAAAGGAAAGTAATTCCGAGAAGAATGCCTTCATATATTTGATATGTTGATGTGTAGAAGGAGGAATATAGAAGAGTAAAAACTGGATATATAAAATAATAGCTATGGATTGAAATGAAAAAAAGAAGCGAGTCAGTGAAAGTATTTGTAATTTTGAGGGTCATGTAAAAGTGGGAGACAGACTGAAGCAATTATTTCATAAAGTGAGATTAAGAGAGATTGAAAAAGAAAGAGAGTGTGGAGCAAATATTTCGTAAAGAGAAATTGAAAAGGAAAGAGAGAGAGAGAGAGGGGCAACATTTCATAAGAGAGATTGAGAGACACTGAAAGAGAGAGAGAAAGAGAGAGAGGAGGGAAAATGTTTCATAAAGAGACATTGAAAATGAGATAGAGCGATATAGAGAGAGGCAAACATTTCCTAAAGTTAGATTGAAAGAGAGAGAGAGAGAGAGAGGGGAGCAAACATTTCATAAATTGAGATTGAAAAAGAAAGAGAGAGAGAGAGAGAGGGGGGTCTAACATTTTATAAAGTGAAATTGAGAGAGGGGAAAAAGAAAGAGAGAGAGGGGCAAAGATTTCATAAAGTGAGATTGAAAGAGATTGAAAAAGAAAGAGACACAGAGAGAGAGAGAGAGAGAGAGAGAGGGGGCGAATATTTCATGAAGTGAGATTGAGAGAGACTGAAAAAGAAAGAGAGAGTGAGTAGCAAATATTATTTTATAAAGAGAGCTTGAGAGAGACTGAAAAAGAAAGAGAGAGAGAGAGAGAGGGAGGGTAAATATTTCATAAAGAGAGATTGAAAAAAGATAAAGATAGGCAAACATTTCATAAAGAGCGTTTGAATTGATAGAATGAAAGAAAGAGTCGAGCGATATATAGAGATTAAGAAAAGCAGAAGAAAGGTTCAAATAAGATAAGACAGAAATAGTGTGAAATGAAAGTATATATATATATATATATATATATATATATATATATATGAGGGTATATATATATGGGTAAAAAAATCAGTATCTCAGTGATCAAACATAATAATACTGATTCTGGAATGGATTCGAGATATGCAAAATGATGCTGAAAAGTAATCAGCCCTTTCAAAAAATCAGTATTATGATATTTGTTCACTGAAATGCTGATACATACACACACACACACACACACACATACATATATATATATATATATATATATATATATATATATATATATATATATATATATAAATTCGAAGGTCAGTTTTTCAGTGTGTCACACTTTTTCAACTTTCCTCCTAGAGGCCGTAGCCCGACATATCATACCATTTTGGAATCAGGCGGACTCCGTGAGCAATTTCAAAACATCCTGGTTCTGCAATCCTGAAATTTTGGTTTCTCAATTTTCATTACTGCCATTGTTTTCGGCGATTTTTTACGTGATTTTTTTGTGACGAATTGTACTTTTGTAATTTAACTGTTTTTATAACTTACAAATAAATTTGGAAATAATCGAAATTAATTGCGAAATCCTGCGAAAGTCCGCCATGAATAAAAATAATTGTTTGTACGTCAAGTGAGGATCTACGTACATCAAATTTTCTCTAAAGTAAGTGGTGTCAGAAGAATTATCGTTGAAGTTTTAAAATATCCAATAAATTAATATTAATATTCAATAAATTAAGAAATGTTTAATTGATTAGGCGTTTTAGCCGACTCAAGGGCTTATTAGGGTAAGATATTTCATAAAACAAATATCAATGATTTATCAATAAACGTCTGGAGCTGATTAGCTCTTGAGTCGGTTAACCAGGTAAGCCAATTGAGCTTCCCTAAATTTATTGAACAAATATATATATATATATATATATATATATATATATATATATATATATATATATATATATATATCGAACTCAATCTATACCGGGGTTGGATAAGACTGGCGAATTATATGTTCGTCTGTCGAAATAAGCTTATTCACCATATGAGGTGATTTTGGATTTTATTGTCTATAAATTTTTGCTCTGTAATAATAAATACATGATGCTCTTTTTGTGGATCAGTTTTAATATTTTATATTGCGAGGATCCACTTGGATTATATACCAACGGATTTATTACCTTTACTATATATATATATATATATATATATATATATATATATATATATATATATGGGAGAGATCTCTATCTTTTTCCCCATATATAGAGAGAGAGAGAAAAGGAGGAAGAAAAAGAGAGAGAAAGACAAGTAGTGATTTTAATAAGTAAATTGTGACCGAAAAGTTAAATATTAAACAATGAAAGATAAGGAATCCAGTTACAAAAGTAAAATAGACTTGTTTCTTGTTAGTTTTATTTCCGCTAAGTTGTGTCTTATTCAATTAGTGGAGAGCAAATCAAGTGTACCGGTGTCAATGTTGAGTGGATAATGGCAACCAGGTCTGGTCTCCGAGTGTAACACATATGCAACAACCGAGCAATAGATCCATAAAGATTCTTGGAAATATTAGAGGGACAAAGGGTCGGGGGTGGGTGTAGGAGTAGAAGAAGAGAACGTCGAGTGATGCTGGTATCTGTAAAACGCGCATCACAGCGGAGAGAAGGGTACTGAGCTCAGTGGGAACAAAAGAAAACGAAAGATGATATGGAGGGTGTCTGAATGATGGAGAGAAATAGTGAGAGATATAAAGAGAGAGAGAGGGGGGCGAAAGAGAGAGAGGGGGTAAAGAGAGATTGGAATTAGGCCTATAAACGGGTAAAAATGAAACAAAGATAAAGAGAGAAAAAGATAATACATCCGTGTTTATCTCTCAGCGTCTATATTCGTATCTTCATTGATTCTTTTTCTATTTTTTTTTCACCCCTTTGCAAATAAACGTGTGCGGGAGTGTGTTTAATATCCAGTTTTCGGATAAAAGCCCAAAATTGCCTTTGTTTTAATAAAAACATATCGTGTAGGAACTGATGTTGAACTAAAGAGTCATCAAAAAATTTTTAAAAAATCATCCAATCTACATCTATTTAAACGCATTCTTTTTAGATGACAATTTTTCATTAATTTCTATTTTTTATAACTGCATAGTACTAATGAAGGGAGATACATTCTCAAAATTACATTGTTTCTACTGAGCAATATATACATATACATATACATACATACATATATATATATATATATATATATATATATATATATATATATATATGAAGAAATATAGTCTTAAGGTGTGCTATATTTATGGGATAAAGTGCTCAATATCAGAGAAGAGCGTGTCAACATTTAGAGACGACAGGCTGTTTCATGCTGGACTGGGTGGCCTGACGATTGCGTCTAGCATGAAACAGCCTGTCGCGCCTCTAAGTGTTGACTTCACTGTTCACTTTTATATATACATACATATATATATATATATATATAGAGAGAGAGAGAGAGGCCACTGATGATTGCGTTTAGCATGAAATTGTCTGTCGTCTCAATGTTGACTTCAATGTTGACTTTTATATTTACATACGCTCTAAATTGAGCACTTTATCCCATAAATATAGTATATCTTAAAACTATATATATATATATATATATATATATATATATATATATATATATATGTTATTGTACTTAAACTATTTTGCGAGTCATTATTATTATTATTAGAAGTACTAGTAGTAAAAGTATTAAAGTTATGTACTAGTTGAGTTTTCTCTACAATGTTATCGGCTTGTATTTATTGGAAAATCAAGTGACAACAAGTCTCCCTGTTCCAGCTGATTTCCATAATGTTGTCGCATTAATTGTTTCAGTTTTTTATAAAATGAAATTGCGTAAGGTGTAAAACGCGCATACACACAAAGGCACGTACGCGCGTAAACGCACACGTACACATACACAGGCAGACACGCACGCGCGCGCATATTTATATAAACAGAACAATCATTATTATCTTAGTGTTTTCACACCAGTCGTTTCTGGGTGATCTCACTGAGAATCTAGTGACAATGCAACTTCTAAGCCCCGACTTCAATATTGCTTAAACGTTCAGTAAATGTTCAAAATGTGGTCATATTCCACATGTTACCCGTTTTCTGGCAATATCCAAAGTTTTTATAGCATTTTTTTTATTCAGGCTCGTTCTACATTGTATAAAAACGCTAAAGTCAACTTGCTAACAATTATTACTTATTAATATGTGTCCTTTAATAATTGTTCTTCTCTAATATTTGTCCTTCTGTAATAATTTTCCTTCTTTAATAATTGCCCCTCTGTAATAAGTTTCGTTCTCTAATATCTTTCTTTAATAATTGTCCTTCTCTAATAATTGTCCTTTTCTAATATTTGTCCTTCTTTAATAATTTTCCTTCTTTAATAATTACCCCTCTCTAATAATAGTTCTTCTTTAATAATTGCCCCTCTGAAATAATTTTCCTTCTCTAATATTTATCCTTCTCTTGTTACTCCCACCCATGAGCTTTTTTCTCATTGGTCTGAAAAGATTTGCTGCATTCGCCCAAACTATTTTGGGCAGTTTATTCACTGTCTATCTACAGTTAGCGTTTAACATTCTGCTGTGATATCTGTCTTGGTATTATTATTATTATTTATTTTCCATACCTTTTCTTATACCTACCAGTATTTTTGTCTTAATAACATTTGTTTATATCGTCAAATGGTTTGCATAATTCCCAGAGTAACACTGTTCCTGACCTGTCATGTCTGTTTTTGATGTGTTCTTTTATTGTTTAGAGTCTTTCGATAGATACTTTTCTCTCTTGTTTGTTTTTACCGTGGGATAAGTGATCCTAGTATATTTGTTCTGTGCTGTACGAAAATAAAAATTGTTTTTTCTTTTTAGGTGTCCTTTGTGCAACGATTTCTATCATTTTTTGTCTATGAATAGTTTCTAAATTTCTTAAAGTGTATGGTTTTTTAATTCGCGTTTGGCTGTTTTTATTTTGTGCCTCCAAGATATTTTTAACAGTCTTTATTAACAACTGAATTTAATTTATAATATCATCAATTCAGGAAAATATTATTCTTCACATTAAGATATTCACATTGTAGCTTTTTTTTTATTAGATTATTTTTCTAGATATTTTTTTATTTTATGTGTTTATGAAATCTAGTAATTTATTCTCTTCAATCGTTTTTAGTTAATTGAATTCTGAGATTGTCTTTTCATCATTAATTTTATCAAAATTTCTTCCGACTATTCATTGAACATGATTTCGCAATAAAGAATTAGTTTCTAACAAGGTATGAATTCATTAATTTATATCCTATATTCCGAATTTCGTCATCAATAAACGGCACTTTAACCATAGAAGCCCAATGGTTAAGTAGGGTTCAAATCAATAGTTGTATTGCTATTCTCCTCTTTTGATTCTTCACGCCATATTGTTTGTTTACGCCTTATTAGTAGCGGCAAACTTTTCGAAATTTAAGATTATTATTTTTATTATTATTATTCTTGTTTTCATCTTACTGTTGCTTTTAATAGCATTCTGAAAATATGCGTCATAAAGTTGGAATATATAAATAGACTTGTCATTTATAAGATAAGTCTCAATAAGTTAGAATTATAAATAATTGTTGCACTCAATGAATCCCCAAAATACGTAGATCATTTCTTTTTTATTACACATAATAAATATGTAATTTAGGATTCATTTATTTTCGTTCTGATTTGGGATTTCATATACCTTTTTTTTTCCATAAAATAAAGTCAGATTTTTTGACAGCATCTTATAGGTTTTATGCACATTCCAAAATAGATGTTTTGTACTGAAGAGTTGCGCTGTATAAAATAACATTTCTTCCTTCTTCGCCGTAAATTCAAAATAAACGAATTCAAT